AGACAGACAGACAGACAGACAGACAGACAGACAGACAGATAGATAGATAGATGATATAAATGTGATCTTGCAAACCTTGTAAAGATCAATTCTACCTGTTTCTTGAAACATTGAGATGGCCATGTCCTCTTGAAGCTTTGGGATGGCCACCTCCTCACACTGTCTGAGCATGCAGATCTCTACATAGAAGACAGCTCAGTTGGGATTGCCAGTTCAGGCAGTACAAGAGGCCTTTAATGTAACCACATCAAAGCCTTAAGGAGTGGCCCTATGAATAGTTTGCATCATACTAATATATGAGCTGGTTTACTACACATTCGATAGTTTCATTTTGGTTGAACTTACCTGTTGCCCAGCAGGTCCAATGGGACCCTGTTCTCCTGGAGCGCCTTGTTCTCCCTATAGAAAGGAAGAGGCAGGAAAAGAAACACATATAAATGATCTCAGTTATATGTGATTTTTTTTTTTTTACCTACAGTGAAACTGACTATCTTGAACTAAGGAAAATATGTTCTTTTAGCATTGGAAGTGGTTCTTCACCTTCTCCTGCACCATAACCTGAACATTTTGAAAGCCAGACAAGGGGAGTTCCAGTTCATAATGTAGAGACCGACACAATCATAGTAATAACAACTCCATCTGTTTATTTTCCTAAAGCTATCCATCTTAGTTGATTAATGTTTAATGTTTAAATCTGATATGCACAATAAATGTTTATTTTTCCAAAACAATATTTAGAAATAGTAAATATGACAGATCTATCTACTTACCCATTATCTATGCGTCATCCATGATATATGATACATAAATGAAGCATAAGTAGATACTGTAGATAGATAGTTAGATCAGATCTATTATCTATTTATCATCTACTATCTATCTACCTCTACAATTTCTTTTTGAAATGACCATATTGCCTGTATTCCAACTTTCTGTTCATTTGGAATGCTTTATCTGGAAAAAAAAAAAAAGAGTATAATAATCTGCTTACGGGTTCACCTCTTTCTCCACGATCACCTTTTTCACCTTTTGGCCCTTGTTCTCCCTTGAGTAAAATAGAAAACAAAATAATTGTATTTTGATTTAAATAAAGAGTGATAGAAGTGGTGAACATGGCAACCTCCATTATAGCAGCCTCTATCTGTCAAGAGATGGAAACCTATTAGCAAGTCCCTTCATTTGAGTTGCTGAATTGACTCTTCTGTTCCCAAGCTGACGTTCATATTAATTAAATGGCCACAGGCAGCTTTGCAGGAACATGGACCGATTCCATATTTTGTGAGAGTAGTTAAAAATAAAGTCTCCCTTGAGTGAAGCTTGACTGGTAGTGACTTCATGGACCAATTCCTGTCATTTTCTTGGCAACAGTATAGAAGTGGCTTGGAATTGTCATTTTCTGGGATACAGAGTACAGCTAATAAAGTTCCACTAACTCCCCTAAATTAAGCATCATTAAGTTCTCTGGAACTTCCATCTCTAACACTCTATCCCCAAACAGTCTAGGAACATTTTGCAGATTTTTTTGGGGGGGAAATACAATAAAATGCAAAATCTGTAGGGAGGAAAATGCTGTAGCAGAAATCTGCCCCCTCCCAATAGAAAGAGGACAGATAAACAGGGGACATTTATTTTACTATTCTCAAAGGTTTCACTGAGCCTAAATATCTGTGTTAAGTAGCATGACTGCATCACTCTTTTTTGAAGAACATCTGCTGTCATCTACTGGTCTAGAGGAACATGACAGGGAAATGTGAGCTACTTAAATTAATGCAAACTAGTTGAACCATCTTTAATTTACTAACAGTTTTTCTGACTGCTCATTTGGGAAAATATTAATAACAACGCTGCAAGCTTGTAGTCCCTTCTTTAACCACAATGTTGCCTAAAGTGCAATGTTGTGGAGTAATTAGATTAAGGAGAAGGATGATACTGAGTAAGGATAAAGGGAAGCTCTTACTCTTATGGAAACTAAGGCAGACAGTTAATCCTGGGAGGGTAGCCTGGTATTCTCTACCTTCAACCTTTTTTCCTTGCATATTTTGAAATATTTTTTGATAGACTGAAAAGAGGGTTGGAAAAGGTATTGATCTTCCACCTGTTAAAATAGAGGGGTCAAGGAATAACTGGATTTGCTAACCCAAACAAAGTTTCCTTCCATATATTGTACAGAATGATGTGTCAACAGAATTTAATCCTTCTTTGTAGCTCAACCTGCTTTTGGCAGTTGACCTAAAATTACAGAGGGAATGTCACACACAAAAGAAGCCAAGCCCAAAATTTCAGTACAGATCTACCATGAGCAATATGAAATCTTGTTCCCAGAGGGCAACTGATGGAGCTAAGCTAGAGATGGAATCTGGACATTTTATTCTGAGGTCCAGGTTAGGTGGACATCTATACAAGTTCTGGCCATTCCAGAGGCTTCATTTTATCCAGCTGCAGGGCTGATGTTGCAAGATCCCAAATACCCATGAGTGCTTGGCTCCCATGGATGCTTACTGGAGCTACCTTCCTGGTGCAAGAGGGAACCCCATGATCCTCACCAGCAGCTATCATTTACATATATCTTTTTTAAAAATGCATGGAATACAAAACCAATATTTAACATTTAATACAGTTTGCTCATGTAAGCATGTTAAATATAAGCAAAACCAGGAAGACTTCAAAGAATTAAAAATTACTTACAGGAAGACTGGGCCGTGGTGTAAATAGGGTAGCCTAGAATGAAAACAATGGAAATTACAAGAGTTTTCAGTATCAGCTTCATAAACTAATAACAATAACAGCAACAGCAATCTGATAGCATTATGGTGATAAATACACAGTAATACTCTTTTTTTATTATAATTACTTTGTTCAGAAATGTAACATACCCCAAAGGCAATGGGAAAATCATGATATGAATGCACCAAGTGTGGGTCTCCAGATGTGCTGAATCACAATACTCAGCATCACTTACTGTTGATGGGTGATAAGAGTTGTAGTCAGCACCTTCAGGAGGGCTACACACTGAGCAATGATAGTTCACAAAAGCTTGCAACATGAAGCCAAAGCTTTGTAGGAGCATAACCTTAAGAAAGCTTTGGAGAACTTCCAACTGATTTATACCCATTATGATTGTTTCCTTCCATGAGAAGAAACTCACACATTTCCTCTTTGAGCAGCTTTACGTAATGCTTTTTCTGTACATGCCTGCAGGCCACTGCTCTACACAAAACAAGTAATGCAGTTGGCTGACTGAAGCTCAACTTCACCTTAAAAGACAGAAGAAACTTTGATTTTCAGAAACATTGGTATCACTTTTCCACCCATATATCCTCATTCCATTTATAATCCTTGCAGTTTCTGTTAAGGTAAAGACACTTCAAGTCAACCTTACATATACATATATGTACAAACACACACTTCCCAGTCTTGCCTATAGTGGTGGGATTTTCCCATCCAAAAAGTAATGGGATCCAAAACCTGCTTAGCTTATTGAAATCAGTCAAGGCAAACTAGGTGTCCTTATAGCTTTTTAAATGTAGTTCTACTTACTTTTCCAGGTAAACCTGGGGGACCAGGAGGACCAATTTCACCCTAGGAAGGAGAAGGAGAAGGAGAAGGAGAAGGAGAAGGAGAAGGAGAAGGAGAAGGAGAAGGAGAAGGAGAAGGAGAAGGAGAAGGAGAAGGAGAAGGAGAAGGAGAAGGAGAAGGAGAATTAAAGAAAGTAATGGAGACACAGCTCCATATTCAACCTTATCAAATGTAAACAATGGTAGACAAACGCATCTTCCAATGAGAAGAGGATCTGCCATGAATCTAATAAATATTTATCACATATTTATGTTGCCACATTCCGTAAGCATTTATGATGGTATACAAATAAAATAGACATGATAAAAGTAATATTTTTGGCAATTGTAGATGATGATTTCTCCTTGAATAGGAAGTTTTTATCAGGTGAATGCTGGGCAAAAATAAGGTTCCTTTCTGCCAATATCATGACCTCTCAGTTTGTTACTCCCTTCATGCACTAATTATTTTTTTTTAAAATGCCTAATGTAATGACTAATCACAAGTTGATTGACCACTACTTTTTATTTGTTATTTATTTATTTGTTATCCAAAGATTGATCCATATTTCTGTAGTAATCCTAGTGTCTCAGGGGTGAAATCACCCTAAATTGGTGATTTTGAACCCCCCAAAATTGACACTCATCCAGCATATCAGCACTGAACAATGTTGGTTTAGAGACCAGATGTAAAAGAATATAGAGCTGAACTTGGGGATTAGGGAAGGAAGGAATGAGCCGTTCAGGGGGACTTAAAGGAAAGAGTACTCAGGCCTGAGAAAGAGGGAAGTATGATAAACTCAAAATAACCCCACTTTGATTCTGTTAGTATAAGATGGACAGACAGAAACCTAGTTAAGCTTTCAAGATTCTGTTATTCCATCTTAAAGAGCACTCCTGGAATCTCTGCCATGCCTGTTTCTTGACCTGGCTGACACCAGTCTTGCTCATGACATCAGTTTTAGGTGGTTCCAAGATAGCTGTCAGCCCTTCAAGGTAGTCCAGACAAGAAACCAAAACCATGAGTACTAACACTACCTGTACTGTAAGGTTACAGTAACAGAATCTTGCAAGTCTGAAAGCACATCTCTCCCCCTTGCCGTTACTTCCCAGGGAATTAAGGAGGGTCCCTTCTGAGATGCTTACCATGCCCTTATTCCTTCTGCAAGCTGAGATGTCTCTTATCTGACTGTTGCCCTGGCTGCAACTCTTCTTCCTCCTGGCTCCCAAGGATATTCCCACAGACCACTACAATAGCTCAAGGAGGCCCAAGGAGGCCTCCACAGGAGAGTCCAAAAAATCAAGACGGCAGTCAGAACTGCACAGTTGGAGCCTCCCCCATATTTTACATGTGTCCACCATCTTGATTTTTGACCTCCTGTCTTGTGGGCAATCCTGTCTTGCTGAATCACATTCAGTCCTGTTTCTACAATGTAGTCTCTGCCACGGATCATAAGAAATGTTCTCAAGTTCTGAAGGCAGGCAAGACTGAAACCAC